CACGTGTCTCCGCAAGTGCAGCACGGACGCCGACTGCCTCAGCCGCAAGAAGGTCTGCCTCTGCGACGGGATCTGCGGCATGAGCTGCATCAAGCCGGGTGAGTGCGCATGCCTCGCGGCTTTTGTTTTGGGATCAGGTTTGTTGGTTTTTGGTATGGGTGTGGGTATTATTGTTGTTGTTTTTGTCATTATTATTATTATCATTACTATTTATTATTATTATTATTATTATCATTTTCATTTTTGTTATCATGATTATTATTATTATTATTATTTTATTATTATTATTTTATTATTATTATCATCATTATTATTTATCATAATTATCATGACTATTATTATTATTATCATTATTTTTATTTTTATTGTTTTATTATTATCATCATTATTATTATCATAATTATTCTATGACTATTATTATTATCATATTATTATTATCATTATTAATAATTGTTGTTATAAATTTTTATTAGCATTACCATTATCATTATTATATTATGCAATCTGCGGCATGAGCTTATCAAACCGGTGAATGCCCATTTCCTTCTCTTTTTGTTTTTTGATTGTTGTTTTTTTTTTTTTTTTTTTTACTCATTATCAATATTGATATGAGTATTATCATCATTCTTGTTATTTCTGTATTTTTATCCTTTTTTTTAATTGTTGTTTTCTCATACTTATATTTCTATTTCATGGTTTCGATTAATACCCATTTTTAATTTATCTTTTCTATTAATTCGTTTTCATTATCTTTCCATATCTTAAATTATATATGTTTCATATATATATTTAGAGTATTGATACTTTTGTATAGATATTATTAATGTTTTATTTATGAGTGTATATCTATCCCTCTCATAATGCTAATGAGGATGACGATGCACATTAATGAGTGTCATTATCCCAACGGTAACGTTTGTGGCAACAGATCTACATTATCATTATCATTATTATCAGAATTGTTATTGTTATTGTTATCATATATCATGATTCATAATTGTTATTACAGTATATTGAACAGTAGTAGTAGTAGTAATGTAATAGTGGTAGCAGTAGCAGTAGTTTAGTAGTACTGTAATATAGTAGTAGTGTAATAGTAGTAGTAGTTGTAATAGTAGTATAGTAGTAGTTAGTGTAGTAGTAAATAGTGGGTGGGTAGCGGTTAATGGTAGTAGTAGCAGCAGCAGCAGCAGCAGCAGCAGTAGGATCGTTATATCATCGTCTCTATATTGATTATCAACCTAATGATGTCAATGATGACTACCGTTTTATCGTAAAAATGAAATCTTAGATAAGTACCTATTTAGAACTGGTTACCCAAGAACAGTATAAACAAATTAAAACAATCTAAATAGCAAATTATAACAATTGGCATAAAACGTTAACAACAGTAACGGAATAAATCACTAGAGAAGAATGAAAATAAACAAAGGAAGGATGATTTTCACGCCTTTTGCTCGAGTTACGACTATGACATGTACCCTTCGGCTCTCCCCTCTATTCTTCCTCCCTCGCGGTTCCTTCTCTCTCCTTCCTCCCTCCTTCGGCTTTCTCTCCGGTTCGCTTTTCTCTCTCCTTCCTCCCTCCTTCCTGTTCGCTCTCTCTCCTTCCTTCCCTCCTTCGCTTTCTCTCTCTCCTTTCCTCCCTCCTTCGGCCTGTCCCTCTCTCCTTCCTTCCCTCCTTCGGCTCTCCCTCTCTCCTTCCTTCCCTCCGGTTCTCCCCTCTATTCTTCCCTCTCTCCCCTTCCTTCCCTCCTTCGGCTGTTCTTTTTCCTTCCTTTCCTCCTTTCGGCTGTTCTTTCTCCTTCCTTCCCTCCTTCGCCTCTCCCATCTCCCCTTCCTTCCCTCCTTCGCTTCCAAATCCCGCCGTTTCTTGACTCCTTCTAACGAGTTCAATCCCGCTACGATCACGGAGGTCGAAGAGAAGTTGTGGTAACAACGTCTCCTTCTGCCGGAAAGGAGAGGGGAGGGAGGGTGGAGTGGGGGAGAGAGGGAGAGAGAGGGAGGGAGAGAAGTGGAAGGGAGGTGGAGAGGGGAGAGAGGGGGAGAGAGAGGGAGGGAGAGAAGGGAGAAGGGAGGGGGTGGGTGGAGAGGGAGAGGGAAGGCAGTGGGAGAAGAGAGGGGAGAGGGAGGGAGGAGGGTGGGTGGGAGAGAGAAGGAGGGAGGTGCGGTAGGTGGAGTGGGGAAGAGAGGAGAGAGAAGGAGGGAGGGTGGGGAGTGGGGGAGAGAGGGCGAGAGAAAGAGGGAGGTTTTGGTGGAGTGGGGAAGAGAGAGAGAGACGAGACGAGAGGAGGAGAGGAGAGACGGAGAGACGGAGAGAGAGAGGAGAGAGAGAGGAGAAGGAGGGAGGAGAGAGGAGGAGGGAGGTTAGGTGGAGTGGGGGAGAGAGGGAGGAGAGAGGGGGAGGGGTTTGTTGGAGTGGAGAGAGGGAGGGGAGAAGGAGGGAGGAGAAGAGGGAGGTTGGTGGAGTGGGCGGAGAGAGGGGAGTGCGAGAGAGGGGA